GCTGCTCTGTCCCCTGGGATCTCACAGTGGGCTGCAGGGAAAGGCGAAGAAGCACCAAGGGACAGGAAGATGTGACTGTGGTGGGAATAGACGGAGGAACGGCGATGTGGGCACCCACAGTGGAGCCTCATGGTCTTAGCCTGGGCCCCCCCTTCCAATGCTGAAAGTAAGACCTGTGCTCAGGACTTTGCAGCGGAGGGTTATTTGGAAAAGTGAATCCAGGGAGCAGAGTGAGGGTCCGGGAAAGTAAAGGAGGGGATAAAAGCTAAGGGTATACTGTAGAGATGACCACATTGAAGGCAACTAAGGCTTAATCCAGTGTGATCTCTAGGATAGCAGCTAGAAAGTATATCACGGCCAGGCACAGTGGCTCATGCCTGTAATTCCAGCACCTTGGGAGGCTGAGGCAGGCAGATCACCTGAGGTCAGGAGTTTGAGACCAGCCTGACCAATATGGAGAAACCCTGTCTCTACTAAAAATACAAAAGTTAGCCAGGCATGGTAACGAGTGCCTGTAATCCCAGCTACCTGGGGAGCTGAGGTAGGAGAATTGCTTGACCGGGAGGCGGAGGTGGCAATGAGCTGAGATCACACCGCTGCACTCCAGCCTGGGCAACAGGGCAAGACACCGTCTTAAGAAAAAAAAAGGAAAGTGCATCAGATTGTGCATGCCTCTCTCTCAGTGAAAAGGGGGAAAACATTTAACTCCACGTTCCTGTCTCCATTGGTTGAGGGCTGTCCTGTGGGAGCAGGCAGGAATCCACCAGGGATGCGTGGATCTGGTGACGGCCAGCATGTGTGGACTGTTTGCCAGACCTGTGGCTGGAATCTGGAGCCAGGTGAGACCACATGAGGCTGGACAAGGGGTCTCAGCCTGGTTCCCAGGTATGGGACTTGACGGCCACCTAGCAGGCCAGGATGGGAAATGCAGCAGGGACCAGGGCAGCTAGGGAGGCTGCTCCGGGTTCCCCACCCCACAGAGGAGGCAAACCTGAGACAGGGCAGCCCCTTCCCCTGGAAGTCCCTCCTTCAGGGACAGACCCAGACGCTCCACAGAGCAACCCAGCCACCAGGGAGGCCTGTGTGTCTCCACGTGATGGGCTTTCATTGCACTGGGCCCCAAGGAGGTCACGGCCTTGGAGTGCAAGAATTCCTCCCGCCTCCTGAGTCCCAGGACTACCTGCCTCTTCTGTCCCCTCACCTGGGCCATCTGCCCCCCTCCACCTCCTGCAGGCTCACCCCTTTGTTCCCTGCTTTCTCTTTCTCTGCTTCTCTCTGCCTGCCTCTTTGTCCTTCCTTTCTCTTTCTGTGACCCTGTCCTCAACAACTCTTTCCCTTCCTCTATTGTGCTGTTTCTCTGTGATTCTCTCCAGCCCTCTCTCCCTGTCTCCGTCCTCTCCATCTCTCTTGCTTCCTGTCTCCATTCCTCTCTTCTCTTTTTTTTTCTGCCTTTCCCTCGGTGTGTGGATGACTGGCCAGCTCTCTGGACATCTCCCTCCCTCCAGCTCCCTTGGTTCTCACTGTGGGTCCTTCTGTCTTTGTCTCTTCCATTCCTCTTCTCCCCCTGGGCCCAAATCAACTTCTCTCCATGACTCCATCCTCCCATCTCCATCCCTCTCTCTCTCCCCTCACCCCCCACCTTCTCTCTCCCTTCTCTCTCTCTCACTGTTTCAACCCCTCTTTCTACCCTCCTTGTCTTTCTCCTTCTCTCTGCTGTTCCCCTCCCTCTCTCATCCCTTCTCTCGTCTTCTCTTTGCCTGTCCCGCCTCTGACTGACCTCACCCCTGCATTCTCTACTCCTCTCCAGTCCTGCTCAGTGAGCCTCTCACCACCAACCTCTGCCTATCACACAATTTAAAAATTACAGGAAGATGGTGGGGGGCACAGGACTTATGGAGAAATGTCTACACCCAACTCAACTTCCCTTAGAGCCGCCTGGAGTTGGTGCTCCCGGGGGCAGCTGGCTCAGTGGGGAATGGGCTCTGACAAACCCTGAGTCTCGGCGAGGCTCCTCAGGGGCTTCACAGCTGCTGCTGGGCCCCCTTCTATTCCCTGTCAGGAGAAGTTGGCCACCTCATGGGGATGGATTCCGGTCCATCTGCTCACAAGGCACCACGGGCAGTCACTAGGAACACAGTGACTATTTCTAGAATGAATGAGCACAACCTCCACCCATGGCTGGATACAGGATATTCCCCCATCCCAGAAGGCCCCCTCGGGCCCTTCCCAGTCAACACTAACCCAAAGGGTAACCCTGCTTCTGTGGCCAGCAAGGCAGTATCTGCCTGAGTTTGAACAGTGTATGAGGAGTCACACCTTGTATACCTTGGGGTGTGAACTGGTCCTCCAGGAAGCGGACACCCAGAAAGATAGGACTGCAAATGTTTATTAAGGGAAACACTATGGAAATGAGAGAGAGAGGAGCGAGCACGGGGCATGGGGCATCAAATATGGTGGAGACTTTTCCAAGGTATCGTGGCCCAGGAGACTCTTCAAATTTCAAAATTGTCCTGTAAGGTAAAAAGATTTCGGTTTATTTCCAGGTGACCTTCGTTTGCCCAATGTACATTTTGTCTTCTCTGAAATATCTGTGTGCCTGCTGAATACGTCTGTGTGTGGCCGCATCTGTGTCTGTATGTCACAGAGAATAATTATCCACAGATCGCAGATGTAAATCTCAGAGTTTAACTGTGTATGCATTTTTAGAATGTCTTCATCTCATAAGGATCTGAATTCTAATCTTGGAGACAGGGGCTTTCCCTTATCTTTTGAAAGAGAAACTGGAAATCCCAGAACCTGAGCTATTACACCCTAAGGTTTATTAAATGAACTTCAATGAACATCTTTTGCTGATCTTCTGACTGGGAATATTTTCATTTAATCAGCGGGAGGGGTGAGGCTCTACTACCTACCAGCTGTTTTGCAAGATGCTTTCCGTATGAGCTTGGTCTCCCTGCCCTCACCATGGCCTCACAATCACATCATTCCCAGCTCATTTCTGAGAAAGCTGGGGCTCTGAGCCCTACTGAGAGTTGGTGTCTGGGCTTAGGCAGCAAAGACACAGGGAAGGGGAAGCACTTTGCAGGCCAAGGTTGGGAGACGCAAAGCTGAGAGTCGTGGGTGGGAAGAAGAGGGTGCTGGAGATCAGAGGAGGCTAGGGCAGCTCAGGATTGGCCTTGAGTTTCCAGCCAGAGTCAGCCTCATTCTGAAGGCCAAGGCCGCAGCTCCACTGAACCAGACCCATCCCCATTGCTAGTCTCCTTGGGCCATAAAAACTCAGGGACACAGGTTCCCCTGAGAGAACCAAGCTAAATTTTTCCCCTGACAGAACCAATGCCTAGACCTCTAGGCATTCGTTCACCCTGATCCAGAGCCTTCACACACCCAGGGAAAGAATCATCTTTCTGCCGATAATGGACTAAAGTCTGTAGGGCAACAAGGAAGTGCTGTGGGGGTAATTCCCTGTACACACTGTGCTATCTGAGCTCCCACGGTGGCTCTGTGTGGCCCTCACGCAGCCTCCACGCTCCTGCTCACACTGCTTGCCTGGCTAGGAGCAGCCTTCCAGCTCCATCTGAGTTCAACAGACCCCCATGTGACACCCTGCTTCATCTTTCTCTTCCACAGCCTCCTGTTTACTCCCAGGAGATTCTGTCTCCTCCTTCTGCACTCTGCATCCCTTCACCTGTGCTTCCACTGGGGTGGTCAGAAGCTCTGTGCCCTTCAGTGTGGGTCTCTCTGCTGCAGGACACAGGATGCCCTGCCAGTCAGGGACGGGTCTCATCCCTCACAGAGCTGGCCATATGGCCCAGGTTCCATACACGCCTGTAAAACTGGTATTTCTAGCTTCTATAAACAATCTCTGGCTGGGCGCAGTGGCTCACACTTGTAATCTCGGCACTTTGGGAGGCCAAAGTAGGCAGACGGCATGGCTCCAGGAGCTTGAGACCAGCCTGAGCAACGTGGTGAAACATGGTCTCTACAAAAAGTAAAACAAAAAAACATTAGCCAAGCATGGTGTTGCACACAGGTAGTCCCAGCCACTCTGGAGGCTGAGGTGGAAGGATCACCTGAGCCCTGGAGGTGGAGGTTGCAGTGAGCCAGGAGTGCACCCCTGCACTCCAGCCTGGGTGACAGAGTGAGACTCTGTCCCCCCCCAGAAATAAAAAACAAAACAAAACAAAACAACTCTTTCCTCATCTACAGAAGATACTTGCTGCCAAGGTCATAATGAGGACATAATGCAACTGACTTGTAGTCTCAGAAACTTGAGCAAAGTGACCACATCCTCAGCCAGTGCTACCCTCGTATTGCAAAGCCCTGCAGTACAATCTGTGACATTTCTATTCATTCAAGAAAGGAAAGATGAATCCATTTTGCAACTCAGTTCATACTGTTCAGATAAACACACGAAATGGTACATGTGGAGGTGGTGGTCGAGGTCTTACAGGCCACAATGGGTAGAGGAGCTGGTTGAGGTCCTGGAGGAGTCAGTTCAGACAGCAGAGGCCAGCCAAGTGGAGAAGGTGGCAGATGTACTAGAGGAGACCCTGGTGGAGGAGGTGGCTGAAGTCCCAGGGCCCACGAGTGGAGATCATTGAAGTAGCGGAGGAGATTCATGTGAAGGTGGTTGTTGAGGGGCCAGATGCCACCCAGGTAGAAGGCGTGGCTGAGGATCTAGAGGTTACTAAGTGAAGATGTAGTCTGAGGTCCCAGAGGCCTCACAGAACAAAAAGGTGAATGATGTCCCAGAGGAAAGGCAGCTATAAAAGATGGATGAGGTCCTGGAGGACAGAAACATGCAGAAGATGGATAAGGTCCGGGAGGACCAAGAGCTGCAGGAGGTAGATGAGGCCATGGAGGGCAGACACAATTTGCAGGTGAATTAGGTCCCAGAAGACCTATGGCTGCAGGAGGTGGATGAGGTCCCAGAGGACCAACAGCTGCAGGATGTGGATGAGATCCTGGAGGACCTACGGCTGCAGGAGGTGGATGAGGTCCTAGGGGACCAGCAGGTGCAGAAGGTGGATAAGGTCCCAGAGGACCACCAGCTGCAGGAGGTAGATGAGGTCCCAGAGGACCGACAGCTGCAGGAGGTGGACGAGGTCCAAGAGGACCACCAGCTGCAGGAGGTGGATGAGGTCCCAGAAGACCTACAGCCATAGGAGGTGGATGAGGTCCCAGAGGACTGACAGCTGCAGGTAGATGAGGTCTGGGAGGACTGACAGCCGCAGGAGGTGGATGAGGTCCTGGAGGACTGACAGCTGCAGGTAGACGATGTCCGGGAGGACTGACAGGTGCAGGTGGATGATGTCCAGGAGGACTGACAGCTGCAGGAGGTGAATGAGGTCCCGAAGGACTGACAACTGCAGGTAGATGATGTCTGGGAGGACTGACAGCTGCAGGAGGCAGATGATGTCCGGGAGGACGGACAGGTGCAGGAGGTGGATGAGGTTCCAAAGGACTGACAGCTGCAGGTAGATGATGTCCAGGAGGACTGACAGCTGCAGGAGGTGGATGAGGTCCTGGAGGACTGATAGCTGCAGGTGGATGATGTCCCGGAGGACTGACAGCTGCAGGTGGATGAGGTCCCAGAGAACTGACAGTTGCAGGAGGCGGATGAGGTCCCGGAGGACCGACAACTGCAGGAGGTGGATGAGGTCCTGGAGGACTGACAGCTGCCGGTGGATGAGGTCCCAGAGGACTGACAGCTGCAGAAGGTGGATGAGGTCCTGGAGGACTGACAGCTGCAGGAGGTGGATGAGGTCCCGGAGGACTGACAGCTGCAGGAGGTGGATGAGGTCCCGGAGGACTGACAGCTGCAGGAGGTGGATGAGGTCCCGGAGGACTGACAGCTGCAGAAGGTGGATGAGGTCCCGGAGGACTGACAGCTGCAAAAGGTGGATGAGGTCCTGGAGGACTGACAGCTGCAGGTGGATGAGGTCCTGGAGGACTGACAGCTGCAGGTGGATGAGGTACCGGAGGACTGACAGCTGCAGGAGGTGGATGAGGTCCTGGAGGACTGACAGCTGCAGGTGGATGAGGTCCTGGAGGACTGACAGCTGCAGGAGGTGGATGAGGTCCCGGAGGACTGACAGCTACAGGTGGATGAGGTCCCGGAGGACTGACAGCTGCAGGAGGTGGATGAGGTCCTGGAGGACTGACAGCTGCAGGTGGATGAGGGGAGGACTGACAGCTGCAGGAGGTGGATGAGGTCCCGGAGGACTGACAGCTACAGGTGGATGAGGTCCCGGAGGACTGACAGCTACAGGTGGATGAGGTCCTGGAGGACTGATAGCTGCAGGAGCTGGAAGAGGCCCCAGAGAACAATTGAGTGGAGGAGGTGGTTGAGTTTTCAGGGGACTCTCTAGTGTAGGGGGTGGTTGAGTCCCCAGAGGACACTCCAGTGGAGGAGTTTGTTGAGGTCCCAGAAAACCTCCAGATGGAGGGAGTGGTTGAGTTCCCAGATGACACCCAGGTGGAGGAGGCGGCTGGCAGCCCATCAGTGATCCTGAAGGGCCAGCCATGAGATCAGGCAAGTAGGGCCATTCTGAGAAAGGATGAGGCTTGCCTGCAGCCACATTTACCTGCAAGTCAGGAGGAGAAAATGTTTTGAAATATATGAATATGATGGACAAAAACCCCAAAACCAACACAAGCTTCAGGTGATAGTCCCTTGTACCTTTCCCTCCTCCAGGTTTCAAAATGGCAGCATCAATGCCCCCCCCCACCCAAACAACAACAACAACAACAACAACTCCCTTCAACTGAGTCCTGCCAATGGCAGGGGAGTGAAGAAAAGTCATGGGGACAAACTGCTATCCTCACACACCACTCTGTCTGCAAATGTAGGCAGGCTGGGGGCCTGTCCCTGGGAAGACAAAGTCATAACCCGGTAACAAAGAAGCATGTTTCTGACACAGGGGTGTCTATATCTATCCTCATTCCTCCCTCACCACCATCACCAGAGCATGTTCCTTGCATCAGATAAACAGACAGAAAGGGAAGTATGAAAAGCCCATTGTCCACACATGAGTCGCAGCTACTCTTAAGAGAATGGCCTCCAGGCTTTTCATGTGCTGTCTCTGATTCTCAGAAATCTGCAAGGTCAGTGTGACCACCCTGCTGCAAATCTAAGAAAATAGAGGCTCCCAGAGGAAGGAGAAATTTCACCCAGCATCACACAGCTGGCAAGAAGCAGAGTGGAAGTCCATTCCAGCTCTGCCTGCAAGACCCTCTCGTCCCCCTTCTGCTTCCCTTCTTGACAAAGGGTCTTCCGCACTTTGGAGGTGCCATCCATGGGCACAAAGAGCTCTGGGGAGATGGGGATTCCTGAAGAGCTGCAGGGGAACTGGGAGAGGGTTTTCTGATAGAATAATCCTACATACAGATATCAGTTTGGCACGGCTATCATATTTCTTTAACTTCTAGGTAATACCAAATTTTAAGTGCACTATGACATAAAGGATAATTTTGTCCATGGAAAAATGAGGTGGGAATTCTCAACAACAGAAGCAGTTTAAAAATGTGTTTGATTTCAAGTGTGTAAGTCCCATGATGTGTGATCAGAGGATTCAGCAGCTGTCGGAGACACAGAAGCCACATGAGAACCAGCTTGGCTGAGCATCAGTTAAGGCCTTCATTGGGAATTGTGCCTGTAGGCAATGAGTGACATCCACTCTCCACCACCTCACAGCCGGAGCACATTTTCTATTAAAATATGGAACCTCTGACACTTAGAATATTAGATCAAGGGCAACACTGGGTGAGGGTGGGGCTGTTTTTGCTCAACACAGTTAAGAACAGACGGGACTGTGATGAACTATGGAATTGACTTTGCCAAAGAACATTCAAAATTGCACAAAGCACATATTAATGTTGGATCGATGAGTTTTCACTTCTGGGATTACGGCGGATATTCTGAAGGTTAATTACCTACCTTATAGCAGAAAAGAAAGTCACAGCAACAAAAAGAAACCCCACATATTTTGGGAAGGGGACTCCACACCATCGTGAGTAAAAGGGATCGGCAAGGTCTACTGGGCCATAAGACCGACCGTAGTGGAGCTCAACAGCATCCTCTCATTATTTCTGGAAACAGAACAGTGACAGCCCTGCAGCCCTCGGCCCTAAGCCTTTATGGCTTCTGGAGGTGCCACCAAAGATGATCACCTGGAAATGGAGAAGCCTGAAACTCGTGGGGAAGATTTTGCTTTCAAAAAATCCACAGAGCAGAGGACAGGCCAGGAGAGGGCGCTGTAGGAAAAGACAAAAGTGTCCTGAACTAGAGGGAAAACGACCCCAGCAATTACCTTTGTCTTCTCTGTGTTTTCAGGTGGGACAGAGCGGCTGTTCCTCATGGAACCGAATGAGGTCCTGAATCTGCTAAGGGCCAGAGAAGGGAACGGGCCTTAATCGGGCTTCCAGGCTCTGTGCCAAATGAGAAACCCTCCACACCCTTCGCTGCCACCTCACTCTCTTTGCCACCCTCTGGGCCTCATCCTTGAGGAAGACACCACAGAGCCCTCATCCAGGGGTTTTCTTAATTCTCCACTGACTGTGGCCAGGCCGGGCTCTAAGCAGCTGGAAATGAGCGCTACATCAAAAGTTCACTGCGCATGTCAGAGGAAGTCACTCATCATGTGAGCACGGACTCAAAATTAAAATAGGAACAGCCGTGGATGGGAAGAATATCAATGAACCCTGGACAGAAACAGCACTCTCTCCTTTTCTTCAAGCCATAGGGGCGTTCAAAATTAATCTAACCTCCATATCTGACCAGGTATTATCAATATTTATGAACAGAGATGGACATAAAGAGACTAACAGTCATGAGAAAAAGTAAGAGCTGTAGAAATTAACTGGAAAGTTTTAGGATTACACTTCAAATGCTAGAGAAGTAAGATGACATAGAAATTTAATTTACTAATGAAGTTTTATAGTTCACAATAAACAATTTAAACAAACAAAAAGAATGAAGGAAGCTCCAAAAAGTGTAAATAAGTGTAAATAAATGCTTTTTTTTTTTTTTTTTTTTTTTTTGAGACGGAGTCTCGCTCTGTTGTGGCCCAGGCTGGGATGCAGTGGCCGGATCTCAGCTCACTGCAAGCTCCGCCTCCCGGGTTTACGCCATTCTCCTGCCTCAGCCTCCCGAGTAGCTGGGACTACAGGCGCCCGCTACGTCGCCCGGCTAGTTTTTTTGTATTTTTTTAGTAGAGACGGGGTTTCACCGTGTTAGCCAGGATGGTCTCGATCTCCCGACCTCGTGATCCGCCCGTCTCGGCCTCCCAAAGTGCTGGGATTACAGGCTTGAGCCACCGCGCCCGGCCCCAAATAAATGCTTCTTTAAGAAAAGAAGAAATATTGATCCATGAAGACATAGCCAGAAAATTTCTGCTCCCATCAACACTTATAACTCCCATTCTAAAATGTTATTGGTGTTACTTTTCTCAAATAAAAAAAAATAAGGCCTTCCCACTGACTGGACCTGGTCCATTTGCCTTCTAGACTCATCCCCTCAGTTAAAAGTAACCAAGACGTCAGGGTGGAACGATGTCCACAGTCAGTGGAGGGGCCTGAGCTCCACCATCCACAGGGGACCAGCCACGAGTCATTCAGCTGTGGCACCTGAGAAAAACAGGGTCCTGCCACCCAGCGGGATTACTGTTCTCTTTAGTAAGTGCTTGGAACTGTTTCCAGGAAACATAACAATTACCCAGCCCAAGCCCTCACCCCCGAAAGGAGAAGCAGGGTGTGTGGATTGTGCAGCAGAAGTTAAGCGGCTGCCTTCACAGTGAGCTCCTCCCTCTCCAGCAAGGGTTCTCTAGCCCCAGCTGTCCCTGGGCTGCCTCCTGACTCATGTGTCTCACTGGCACTCCCTGCTTTTCCATCATTTCCCATCTTGAAGATAGAGAAAGAATTGACCTGAAGAATTAAAACACCATGTTTTTTACTAGACACTCAAAAGTTCATCTTAAAACAAAACATCCTTAAAATTTGTCCATCACAGTTACCTACCTGTGCTGCTTGCAGGCAGCCTTCCTCTCTGCTGTCTCCCTCTGCAAGGCTTGGGCACAGAGCTGTGGGGAGAAAAATACATCCATGTCCTGATTTGGCCCAAAAGCAAGGAGGGGAAAAAAAAAAAAACTTACCCAGTTGTTGAGGGCCTTTCTTGCGGCAGAAGGAGCGATCTGAAAAAGCCAACACCTGAGAAAGTGTGTGTTGAGAGAGTCTAGGGGCTGTGGCATCATCTTCATGAGCGCTTAAGGATCCTGTGACTGCGGGGAGGAAGGCTCCTTACCTCGCATCTGTAGGAGTCCTCTACCCACCACCGCAGCTCTTGTCTGTCTTGAATCGTTTTCCTATGATTTAGAATCACTTTCATCAGACAAAGCATCATCTTCAGTATGATTTTAAATAATCTGCCATGTTCCTGATGTCCTCACAACTGACCCCTTACACAATCTATCTGTACATAGAAAATGTATTTCACATGGTTATAAAAGTACAGTATGATCAAAACTGTTGCTGTAATGCTTCCTCCTCTTTTACTTAATGCCTGCTGGGTTGTGAGTTGACAATTTCCTTACCCATTTTCAGTATGTCCCTAATTCATCCTTCATTGGGCATCTTTTATCATGAAGTTCCATTCTCCTGGAATTAATATCCTTGCCATATTTCACAGGGCAGACACAGCTGAGCTGATGAACAGGCACAGTCCTTTTGAAGAATGGGTTGATCCTACAACAACACGCTTTCCTAAGGATGATGACAACTCACACCACCCCTAGAACGGCTGGTATGAACTGAGTTTCCACACAGTCTGGCCGGCATTGCAGTCAGGAGATATTTAGCTACTTCACATGCTTTGATCACTGGTAAATCTTAAGGTACTTTGTGTTCTCTTGTGTGAATTCTCTCTCTAGGTATCTCTTCTGACCATTTGTTTCCATTTCTGTGTTAACTGGGTCTAAACATTGTACAAAAATTCAAAGCAAAACACCGCAGCGGGGCTTTCCCAAGAGGCTGGTGTGGGTTTCTGAACTCACTTGCAGATGGGTATTTTTTCTAGAGCTAATTTCCTGGTTTCTTCCACCTCTGACAGCCGCCTCTCCCTTTCTGCTCGCTCACGTTCTTTCATTCTCAGTTTCCTTAGTTGAGAAGGGAGAGAGATGCACGCACATGATCCACTGGCCTGTGTGGGATTCCTTCTTCCCTTCCGGCATCTGAAGGCCGTGATTCAAAGGTCCCCTGACAACCTTCCCATAAATGAACCAAGTGATCGTCACAACTGGAGGGAGAATTAACACCTTCCATAGAGGGACAAAGAAAAAGCACACTCTGGCCTGCTGGCAAGTCACCTGTCATTTCCAGCTCATCTTCATCACTCTGTATTCCTACTCTTTAGTAAATATGAACTATTAAAAGCTTCTATGAGACGTGCTATGTGTGCTTCTAGGGTCAGCCTTGTGCCTGACATAGCGAAAGCTCATTTTAGTTCAGTGTGGAAAACCAGACCTCATCAGCTCATCATAACTAAACCTGTAAGGACGGAGCAAGGGATCGCTCCTCGTCTGACTCCTCCCATAGGGAGACCTGATTCTCCATCAGAAGCTGATGCCAGAACCCAGACAATCAGCCTCAGAGAGATCCGTCCAGGACATGCTGTCCTTAGCCCTGCGGTTCACTGCTGCACATGTCCATGATTCAGGACTGGAACTCTTCTCATCGACTTTAAAGATCCTAGTTGAGAGAAAAGGCCAATCTGAGTGCCAGGTGCATCTATTGAATTGGAAATGATCGAATGGCTCTTTAGTCAGGGTGTCCTGAAAATAGGTGACAACTGCAAACCATCCTCTGGTGCTGAGTGACTTTAACAAGGTTTGGTTCACAGAGAGTGAGAGCAGAAAAAGGAAATGGCTGAAAAGGTAGGTTTGCTGTGTTGCCCTCACACTACTTGATTCATGGTTCTGATTTTAAAAATCTCACTTGATACTTGATTTCATATGAAGGAGTGTAAACTGCCAAGAACTCTAGGAAACGGGGGCAAAAACATTTCAAAGAGAAAGTTCATGCACCTGTTTCTGAGCGCCCAGGGCACCCTTCAGCACATGCTGTCTGGAGTGGCCTGAAGCAAGGATGTGTTGTGAGGTGCAGAGGATGCAATGGGAGCAGGGTTCCGTCCCCACCCTAAAGGAGCTCACAGTTTAATGCAAATGAGAAGCCAGTGAGGACATCACTACTCCTGCTGTGCACTTGGGAACTGGAAACACAATACCTGAGTCTGGAGGGAAGCTAAGGAAGCATTCTGCTCTGGAGTAGACATGAGTGCATGTGAAGCTTCTGATCTCCCATGAGAACAATGGGGACGTGGAGCAGAATCTAAAACCCATGACTGAAAGCATCAAATTGCTAACATGGCAGTAAAGAGACGTGAGGCCAAATAGAGAAGAAGGAAACCCAGGACGAAAGTCAACCTCACATTTGGGGCTCATTTCTCTGAGTTTCATCACTGAATTCCAGAAGGGACTAACTGAGATGCAAAGAAGCAAAGCAGCTTTTGCACCATGTGGAGGATTGAAAAAAAGCAGATTGAGGGTCTGTCAGTGAAGGTGAGCCCTACTGAAGTCCACTGGTTCTGGATGGGACCCGAAGAGTCACATGCCAGGAAAAGAGGTGGACAGGAAATACCCTGACCTTTGCAAGGACTGAACCTGCACTGATAACCTCAATTACTGCCAGTATAGAGGGTGTGTAGGTGTGCTAGGACCCCTGACCATCCCCCAGAAATAGACGCCCATCTTTTCTGCAGCGAGATAACATGCTAGTAGGCCTCAAGTCATTGCTAAATATTTTTTAACCAGTGACTGACATTCAGCAAAAAAGACTAGTCATGTGGCAGAAAAAATGCAATGTCATATGACCAAAAGCCAAAAGGCTGTGAAAATGAATCCAGAGGTGACGCAAGCATTGAATTTAACAATGCCAGTACTTGGACCACCTCCTCCCACTGAAACATTACAATCAAGTATGTAGGAAGGGAAAGGAAACATGAAGATTAATCAAGCAGGAAGGACAAGCTCAATTTTGCACCCACTGAATTTGCCACAAATATTGTGGAAAATATTCTCAAGGCCATTGCAGTTGTCTACTTTGGTTGGCACATGGTTCATACAACAGTATTTGTGTCGGTGAACATCTTACTCTTCCTCGACAGTCTTTCTTTGCCCAAAGATTTCACAATGACTGTTGACCTTCATCGTCACCTCTTGGACTTCAGCTTGCACTTTAGCTTCCGTAGATCTCCATGACGTGGAAAAGTACGGTTAGTGTGTAGAGAGGAGAAGGGGAGAAACCTGAGGGCCAGAAGCTGTTCTTTCCCTTAACAGGGCAAATTTATGTCCACACTATGGGGACTCCCACAGATAGCATACCTTCCTGGCTACGGCTGTTGGACCTCCAGGCTTTCCCCTGTCAATCCATGGATCTGTCATTGACATTTCGTGACTTTAAGACAGACTTGAGAAAAGACATCTAGGAAACAATAATGGAACAAGGATGTGAATATACTTCACACAACCGAACTGTACATTTCAACAAGGTTAAGATGGTAATTATCATGTTATACATATTTTACCACAAGTTAAAATGTTTCACAATTTGAAAAGAAAGCAACTACCTTCCCTTCAGTTCTCTGAGTTCTAGAATTCCTAACATTTCACTCCCTGCTCCTTCCTGATCTTCTGCAGAGCATCTACTCAGAGTCCCTGCTCTGCTCAGAGTCCACTTTCCCCTCCCTGACACCAGCTTCACTGAGGCTGGTTGGAACCTAACGCAAAACATTCTCAGTAATGCCTCAATTCCCACAAAGAATTCCATATAGACAGCGTATGAGTTGAATCTTCTAAGACATGAAATATTTTTTCTCTTCTTGGCTAATATGCAACACAAATCCTGTTGCAGATGTGCATCATATACCTCTGAAATTCCTGATGTATTCAATGAAATAACATCTTTAAAGTTCTTTATAGAATGTTTTTTCTGATTTCTTCATATAGGATAGAAAAAAAAGAACATGTACTAGGAGTTCGATAGAAGCAAAGAGTGATCTACAAAGATGAAAGAGCAGCGACCGCGTGCGCCCCACAGCTACCGCTGGATTTTATGGGGAAAGCAGCTGGCCCAGTTTGGAGCTAGGAGACATGTCAAACACATGAAGAAATGAGAAGCAAAGAAACACTGTGAGGCATGAACGTTTCATGGCACCCACGATGTCCCTGCTTGTGAGATAATGAGACAGAGGAGTAGATAACCAGGAGAAAGATGAGAAGGTGCAAAGTGGTTCAAGTCAAACAGCTCAACTGAACTTTCCTTAATGGAATATTTAAAAAGTGGTACATTAAAAAACTTCCCCAATTCACATCAAAAAATTTCTCTTCAGAACTAAGTTGGGTAGAGACTGTTCAATGTGCCTAGATATCTTCATAACTCATATAGTTTCTGTTTTCTGCGTATCTTGAAGGGCAGTGCCAAAAGATGTGTAATTATCTAGGTTGTAAAAATAAAACATACTTCCTCTTGCCTTAAGGATAAAAAAGCATTGTAGTATTAGCTTGGATCATTGTTCAGAAGATGTTTAAGCCCCTAGACACCCACGCTTTTACTGTCATGAACAGCAAGAGAAAACGTAGAGCTCAATTTACTCAATGGACAAAAATGCTCAAAAGCCAAATTATGGCACAATTTAGCAGCCACATTCTTACCCAGTACAGACTTTTGACATACTGATCCCTCTGCAGTGGCGACCGGAAACATGGACTTTGAACGATGCCATTCGAAATGACCACTCATTACCCTGCCCAGACACACTTTTCACTGATTCTTCAGAGGGCAGTTCCAAGAGATTCTCTGGGGCTTTCTCTGCATCATGAGAGGCAGTGCAGTTCTGCCCTTCTGCCGTTTGTCGCCTCTTCCTCACGATCTCAGAGGAACTTTGTCTCAGGCCAACTGTTTGTTCCTTGGGCTCTTTCATTTCCCCTGAAAATCATTTGCAGCCCTGCCTACATCTCCATCTCCCTTTTCTCCGAGAAGAGGGTGCTCTTTAAGCATCAATCATCTGGCCCTTCTTGCCGTCTCATGTTTTGGCTGGCTCCCATGTTTATGCCTGTTAATGAGGTTCCATGTTTTCCTTCTCCTGTTAAGCTGTCTGTTGTTAGTACTCTGCTGCAGTGAACCGTTAGAGAGGAGAGTGGAAGCTTTCCTTCCACCCGCACAATAGAACTATAAAGCAGAAAAGTTTAGAAAGAATTTCCTATTTAAGTTCTGAAACTTTATACTCCAGCTTTTGATAAAGAGCAGTGGGGTTAAAAAAAGTATTTTTGACCAAAAGCTCTGTTTGACATTCTATTAAACAAGCACAAACCTATTTAATTTTTTAATTAAATAGGTTTAATTAAAATTTTTTTTTAAATCTGCCATAATTTAAATGGCAGATTTTTCATAATTCTTATGCTGATAAATCATTTTCCTGATTTTTTGGATAAAACCCAATATTCGTAATGAAGTCCAGAACCACAAATTGTTTTAAATAATTTCTTATTTATGATTACAAGCCCACCGCTAGGGGAAGTTAGTGTACTCACACCGAGGCTAGTTTTCCAGAAGAAAATGGCAAGTGTAGAAATTCCCAGGGACACAACAATAATAATAAGCATCCAAGGAATTCCAAAAAAGTCAGGCCCAGGAAGAAAATGCCCAGGCAGAAAATTGATGGCATGGAATAATAATAGTTGACATCATGAGAAGGCTCAATGACATTTATAATATTTCAGTTACAAAGAATCATCCTTAGAAACCCTCAACCTCCTCCAAGAGTTAACCACACCCCTCAGATACCCCCAGGCGATTCCACTGCTTCAGGAAAGATTGGAAGTTTCCAGTCTCATATTCCTTGCATGGCTGGTAGGTATTTAGGCATGCAAATGTGGAGTGCCTTTTTTCTTGGTCTGAAGCAGGGATGTCCAATCTTTTGGCTTCCCTGGGCTATATTAAAAGAAGGAGGATTGTCTTGTGCCACATATAAAATACATTTAGCAATTGCTGATGAGCTAAAAACAAAAATCACAAAAAAAATCTCAGAATGTTTTAAGAAAGCTTACTAATTTTTGTTGGGCTGCATTCAAAGCTGTCCTGGGTTGAATGCACTCTGTCACCCATGGGTTGGACAAGCTAGGTATAAAGTACCTATCTTTTCTTTAAAGTCATTTACTTATTTTTAAAACTGAAATATAACATTGAATGTATTTATCATGTATCACATGATAAAAGAATCTCTCTGGATCCCACTTCTCTTTTGAATTACATGAATCTTTGCAATTTAAAGAACATAAGTAAAAAAAAAATACAATTAAGAGATGACTTCATTCAGAAATAAGTTGCAAATTTTAGTACTTAAAAATAACCAAGGTGGAGGGTGGGTACGGTGGCTCATGCCTGTAATCTAAGCACTTGGGGAGGCTGAGGTGGGTGGATCACCTGAGATCAACAGTTTGTGACCAGCCTGGCCAACATGGAGAAAACCCATCTCTATTAAAACATACAAAAATTATCTGGGTATGGTGGCAGGTGCCTGTAATCTCAGCTAATTGGGAAGCTGAGGCAGAAGAATCGCCTGAACCCAGGAAGCACAGGTTGCAGTGAGCCAAGACCATACCACTGCACTCCAGCCTGGGCAACAAGGGGAAACTCCATCTCAAAACAATAAATAAATAAATAAATAAATAAATATTTTGAAATTTGTGTTACATTATTTGTAATATATCAAAAAATGTGTCCACACTGTATGATGGAAGAATGAGAAAAATATAAGAAAAAAGTCTTAAAGTTATAGATGAAAATACGACATGAAGACATGCTTATATCTACACAAAACTGAGAGTGGACAGCTGCTATAATAATTATACCTAAGTTATATTCCAACAAAAATAATCACAGATGGTTGTTTAGCCCAAGTTTCTAAAAACATTAACTTTTGAAAATCAGTGTTCACTTCGCTGCTGACACAGTGCACGTCATGTCAGATTTTCAAAGCTAAAAAGAATTTGCATAACAAAGTCTTTTTGGAATTATGATTAAAACCGTGAGAATTGAATTTAGTTAAAAACACAACACAGGCCGGGCGCGGTGGCTCATGCCTGTAATCCTAGCACTTTGGGAGGCTGAGGCGGGCAGATCACCAGGTCAAGTGATCGAGACCATCCTGGCCAACATGGTGAAATCCCGTCTCTACTAAAAATACAAAAATTAGCTGGGCATGATGGTGTGTGCCTGTATTCCCAGCTACTAGGGAGGTTGAGGCAGGAGAATCACTTGAACCTGGGAGGCGGAAGTTGCAGTGAGCGGAGATCGCACCACTACACTCCAGCCTGGCGGCGACAGAGCAAAACTCCGTCTAAAAAAAGAAAAAAGAAACACCAAATAACCAATCACAAAAGTTCACCTCCATATTTTAGAGCATTGCACCTAAAGCAATCAGTAGCAACCTTGGAAATCTACATGGAAAGCAATATAAACGTTCTGGAATGTATGGCTACCACCACAAAAGGCACACATACTATTTCACAAGCACTAGAGAGTGGGGGAGAAAATAAATTCAAAATGTAATTCAGACCAATCCACACACCAAGACTCAGTTTTGTGCAAATAAAACCTCTCTGGAAAGCAGCCTTTGACTTCTGTAGCACTTTTGTCTCCAGCCTCACAGTGGAGGTGAGTACAGCCTGGGCTCCTGGGAGGGATGCACTGTCCCTGAGGAGCCTCCGTCCGAATTGGAGTAGGAGCTCTGCGCACAGTGGTTAAAGATGTGGATCAAATGCACGAGAAGGATAAAGGCCATCTTGTCATTGACCAGGAATTCATCCCCTCTTGGGCACTCTTGTCACACCTGACAACTATCTGGTTGCAGGTTATCAGTAGTGGGCTCCTACCTAGATTAGGTCCAATGGGGCCAGTAAGAGCTTAGGTTCTGACAGTCCATGGCCATGAGCAAGGGTGAAAGTAGAAAATGCAATGAGGAAAATGTATCCAGGCCTTCAAAGGTGAGGTAGCGAAAGAGAGTTTAACTGATCTAAGGAAATGCAGCCAGGTAAATGGGAAAAAATCCAACCAAGATTCTCAACACATTTTCTCCTTCATAGCCTCAAAAGAAACAATAGATTCTTTCATTGGAGGCATTCATGTGGGGGTGATTCTGCCTTGATGCAGTGGTTGCTACCCATCACTAGACTTCCAAATCCCTCGCTAAGAATCTGGTGCATGCCAGTCAGAACAAGTATTCTCGTCTCCGTAAAGCGCCCTCTCCTGAGTGTAGTGGAGAGGTTTTATAATGCCAGGGTGAAAACTTTCAAAGTAGAAACCTGTCATTTCTTTATATTTGGACAATCATAAGCACTTTAAGACCCTTTCTGGTTTGGGTAAATCAAAGGTCTACACAAGACACATTTTACAAAACAAAGGACAATACAGTCCTCATTCAC